AGGTTATCTTGAGATGATTTCGGGGCTTTTAGTGTCCCCGCGGCGCGGTCCTCGACCAGGCCTCCACCCCCAGGAGGTAGCCCGTGACAACTGACTAACACCCAGGTACCTATTTTACTGCTAGGTAACAGGGGCATATAGTGAAAGAAACTCTGCCCATTATTTCTCCCCGGCGCCTGGGATCGAACCCGGGACCACAGGATCATAAGTCCAGTGTGCTGTCCGCTCGGCCGACCGGTGCTCCCCGGTCGGCCAAATAATGTGAAGCATTAAGTGAATGAACGAGTGAACACAGCTGGTGTCCCCGTAACTAGTATGTCAGCCGTAATATTTAGCTTGAGTCACGGCTTGAGGACATAGTTCACACCTCGTGTGGTATAAGACAACCCAATCCCCTGGAAACACAAACCGAAACTGTCTCTATTTTCCGCTTGTTACAACTTGTAATAAAGTTGTTATATCTTGGCTTAACGTGTTTATGACGTATTAGAACGTTGTTACAACTTGCTATAGTGGTTGTTATGACTGGTTAGGAAGTGTTAAAACTTGTTCGAACGTTGTACCAACGTCATAGTTTCGATGTGTGTTTGGCGGGTGATCATCTGCTGCTTCTTTAGCTCTCATTGTCTGAGACGAACCACCTGATGCAGGGCATCAGGCCCGTGAGTGTTGCATAGCCTGGTGCAGGGGTATCACTACACAACATAGCTTGAATGTTAGGTTGCATGTTGGGGCCGGGAAGCACAAGATAGCATATATGATATGTTGTATGTTGGGACATACAGAGCATCATAATATCTCTGATTTCATTTAATCAAAACAAAATTGCTGTAATAAAAGTCAGAGGCCCGACAGACCCTATGCGGCCAAACCAAATTGGGGACCTTTATAGGGCGATAAATTCATAAGAGTGGTAGAGGGTGTTGAGTATGGTGTGGGGGGGGGTGTATGGTGTATGGGGGGTGGTGTATGGAGTGAGGGTGTATGGTGGGGGGGTGTATGGTGTAGGGGTGTATGGTGTGTGTTAGAGAGAAATATATTTAGCAGACGTAATAGAGGAAAAATAGACTAGAAAGGCGGGGTCCAAGAGCTAAAATGCTGTGTTGGTATACCTCATGGCTGTGTTGGAAGGTTAATTAACAAGTCGTGATGGGACTAACTTGATAAAATTAATGCAGTGAAAAAGGCAGTAAAATGAATCCAGAAGCAGCGACGCTTCGGTCACGATTTAGGAGAGAATTGCGAAGGATGAATTATGCACATATAAATTATTCCAAAGACATAAACTATTACACATAAATTTTCATTCTGTAATTCAAACGTCGAAATTGAGAATAATGAAGCAGAAGAAAGAGAAAAATCAGAAGAAAAAGAAGATGTAGAAGCAAGAGAAGGAAGGAAAAAATAATGAAGAAAGATGAGATATTTAACACAGAAAGCTTTGTAGAAAATTAAGTTAATTCCCATGAACAAATGTTGCCGAAGGGGACCACTAGACGCGGCCCTGGACACAGACAGTGCCAGTCACCTGCTAATCAAACACTGATGAAATCACAGGTACACACGCAGGCAGCCTTATCAGCATCCAGTGTGTGTGTTGTGTAGGCTGCGGGTCCTGGAAGGGGGAATAATTGGAACAAAGACGAGGAGAGAGAGAGAGAGAGAGAGAGAGAGAGAGAGAGAGAGAGAGAGAGAGAGAGAGAGACAGTGAGAGAGAGAGAGAGAGTGAGAGAGGAGGTTTAACAGGAAGACACGATGATTGAAGGGGATGTGAGAGGTAAAGTAATTGAAGACTAAAGAGTGGAACTAGATGGTAATGAGAGAGTAAACAAATGAAAGAAAACTCGACAATTAAAGAGACGGAGAAGAGTGAAGGAGATGAAAACACAAGATATAAACAGATGGTGAAGGAACCAAGAAATAAGAGACATGTGACTGTAACAGGAGGTTGAAAGTAAGAAAGGAGAGTGAAAGCTAAGGATAACGGGGGAAACAGGTCTAGATAATGGAACGAAAGAGGGGAGAGAGGGAAGATACACATAAGGGTAGAGAGAGAGAATAGAGTGAATGACTGACGGAGGAAAAGCAGGGAGGTGTGAAAGAGCCAGAGGGTGAGAGAGCAGACAGCCCGGAGGCTCTGTGGTGTAGGTGTCTGGTTTATGGTTTAGTCTTTGATACAGCTGGTTGTGGTGTGTTGTATAGCTCTTACTTGTCTTACTGTCTGCTGCTCCTGCTGTTGCTACTACTGTCTGCTCCTGCTGTTGCTACTACTGTCTGCTCCTGCTGTTGCTACTACTGTCTGCTCCTGCTGTTGCTACTACTGTCTGCTCCTGCTGTTTCTGCTGTTGCTACTGTCTGCTCCTGCTGTTGCTACTACTGTCTGCTCCTGCTGCTGCTGTTGCTGCTGTTGCTACTGTCTGCTCCTGCTGTTTCTGCTGTTGCTACTGTCTGCTCCTGCTGTTGCTACTGTCTGCTTCCGACAGTACTGTACAGTACTGCTCCTACTGTCTGACAAGATACGAGACAAAAAAAATAAAAAATCTGTAGGAAGTGCAAGAAAAAACACATGCAAATACTTAAAATATATATATATATATATATATATATATATATATATATATATATATATATATATATATATATTATATATATATATATATATATATATATATATATATTTATATTAGAATTACAAACAATAAAGAGTGTTTGGTTTAGTTTCTTTATTCAGTGGAGCCGAGAGATGCCTGTTGCTGTGGCTGACTTCCTAGTGGATGTGGCACCAGGAGTGCCTCTTGCATATTAACCACTTCCTTCACTCTCTTTCTCCACCTTGCGGAAGGAAGGCTCATTTTGTTCACAGTGCCTGCCGGTGGCACTGTGTACTTGTCTTGACAACCAGCGGTGGCACTGTGCTTCCCTTGACCACCAGCGGTGGCACTGTGTGCTTGTCTTGACCACCAGCGGTGGCACTGTGCTTCCCTTGACCACCAGCGGTGGCACTGTGCTTCCCTTGACCACCAGCGGTGGCACTGTGCTTCCCTTGACCACCAGCGGTGGCACTGTGCTTCCCTTGACCACCAGCGGTGGCACTGTGCTTCCCTTGACCACCAGCGGTGGCACTGTGCTTCCCTTGACCACCAGCGGTGGCACTGTGCTTCCCTTGACCACCAGCGATGGCACTCTTGTAACGGATGAGTTTTCTACATTTGTGACGGAGAAGGATTCTGGTAGTCATTCCCTGTGCTTCCTTGGGCACTTTAGGCACTATAACCTATCCTCACTTTTAGTGTACCCAATTTATTGAAATTAAAAATACAGCAAGACTGACGTTACTTTGGATTACAGTGCATCGTTCTCAATATTTTAGGTAGATTACCTGATTCTGTACGTTTCTAGTTAAGCAAAACAACTTAATATTTGACGTTTTTCAAATTGTGAAGGACAAGTGAAGAATACAGTGGGCGTTTCCTCTCTGTATCGCCACACTAAGGCGCTAGAATAGGTAGCAGGTTTTTCACTCCCCGAAGCACCATTGACGGTGGTATTTCACACCAGGGATCAATCTCCTCCTTAACTGATTGACATCTAAGAGCATCAGTTGTAACTGAGCATTTGAACATTGTAGTATATCTTTATGGCTGTTCAAGATGCCTTTTTATTTCAAATGTTCTAAAGCATAACTTAGAAACAAAGGCTGACGGCCATTGATGAGAGATGATGATGATAAGTGACTCAGTAAATACCTCACAGCTTCAAGGAAAACCAAAAATATTGTGTTAAAGGAAAAATTGACAGGTATGTTAACGGTTCGGTTCCCCGGAGCCAGTCAGGTGTGATGGACCTGTATTGTCAGAACATACTAAGAAGGTTAGGTGAGGTCGGTGTTTTCTATGAAGCTTTTCAAGGTAAACTAAAATATTCACAATCAATTAGTATGTCACATATGCACTTATTAAATAAGCCAATATTGACTGAAAGGAAGTGCGAGAACGGGTTGGTTGTCAGTCACGTAGGTGTAGTGGACCTGTGTTGTCACTCACGCAGGTGCGGCAGACCAGAAGACACGTGGGAGGCGCCACATGGATAATAACCACTCAGCTTCATCAGAGGCAGACCATCTTGATCTTATCTGTGGCTGATGATGAGAAAAGAAGAACCTTCATTTGCTTTTTAGAATTTAATGCGGGAAGAATGGTGGGCAAGTCGTCCGCTTGTATTTCCTGGCGCACATTTCCAGTACTAGGGGGTTTAAGGTCTTCCATTACCGAGGGCTTCACATATTGAAATACAACAATGTAATGATTCCTACATTGATTTTTGTCTGTCTCGGACTTAACTAGAGGATTCCAGTTAGGCATTTACAGAACGGTAACCACTTGTAATACACATTCTCTTGCATGTCAGCAGCACAAGATAATTACTTGTCTACAAGATCAAGAAACATATAGTGCTTGCATCGGGATATGACAAGTCTTTCCTCGACTCTCTCTGTCCTCTAGAGGGATAGAGAGTCGACATTTGAGAGCTCTCTCAAGCTGTCACCCGCCCAACGACCTGCCCTGCTACTCGTCACACTAAACCACTCTGCTCTCAAGCGGGTGACAGACAGCCTTCTGGTGTTCATCTTGTATGGACCAGTGAGTGACCTCTTGACTCAACCTCTTGACACAGAGTAGTAGAGTGAACGAATGTTCTTTGCTGTTCTAATCCTCAGATTATCAGTTTATATCAATTTCATTAATATTATTGTTCTCGTGATCTCAAGACTTATATTTTTTTATATAGGATGCAATTGTTTCAAGTGTGACCACTTTGGAAAGAGCAAGATCCTGATTACTCCTCTTCATGATGAATGTACGCTAGTCAGTATGGATCTTATTGAGGTTCCTGAACTTTGCTACGGAGATAGTAAAGCACATTCACAGCTTCAAGAAACAAGAGAATCATCTTCAGCTTTCAGTTGAGGCCAGGTATTTGCAACAGTAAAACGGAAGTGATCACAGAGCTTTGAGAACAGTATCTGCGTTGTTAGATGACACCAGCAGCTTTGTCTGCAAGTATTAGCGTAACAGTTAATAATTTATCAAACACATTGGAAAGTATCGATAATTATTTTACCGCTCAAGTATCAATATAATTACTTTTGACCCCTTTGAAGAAGATTGGGGCAATTCTATAACTCATTTTTTTAAACCATGTCACCAGCCATTCCTTGCCTCTAAAAATGCTAGTTCTTGTTAATTTGTTTTTTTGTTAGATGTGTCAAAAGCGATTTTAAGGCCAATAATTGCCTCGTAGGAATTTTGATCACATAAAACATTCAAGAAGTTTTAAGAAGAAGTTCAAGAAGTTCAAGAAGGTCAAGAAGTTCCCGTAAGCAGGATTAGCTTACGGGAACAAAGTATCACAGGTCAGAAATAAGGTGATTTTCAATTTAGGCCATATGGCCGAGAGTATATACTCACCTGTAGTGTAGTTAAGAAATTGTATACTTCATTCAAAATTATGTACCATTATACATCTTAGCCAAGCATCCCAGTTCAGCCTTCTGTAGTCAGTCATGCACGGGATTGTAGTCCTTCCAGCCTTGCTCACTGGATGGGTATGTGAAAGATGAATTCAAATAATATCCAGCTAGCTAACTACAAATGTAAATTAATTGGCTTAAAGACCATTGGAGTCTTTACGAACCCATAATGTGCCACTAACCACAACATGGGTATGTGGGTATGTAATAAACTAATTAAATTAAATGTTAAGGGCTTTTGGGGGCCTTGATGTTAGTTTGATAAATTGCTGATAGACTGTTGTATATCTTAAGAAACTCTATAACAACTCATTATTATTCTAATTTGCTGAGCTAAAGTAATATTGGGGGTTCAGTTCGCAAGTTTATTATGTGCTTTTGGGACCTTTTTCACACCCGCTCAAAGGATGGATATGGGTCCATTGTCACAGGATGGGTATGGGGACCACTATTGCTCACAGGATGGGTATGGGGACCACTATTGCTCACAGGATGGGTATGGGGGACCACTATTGCTCACAGGATGGGTATGGGGACCACTATTGCTCACAGGATGGGTATGGGGGACCACTATTGCTCACAGGATGGGTATGGGGTGTACTACCGCTCACTGTATGGGTATGGGGACCACTATTGCTCACAGGATGGGTATGGGGGACCACTAATGCTCACAGGATGGGTATGGGGACCACTATTGCTCACAGGATGGGTATGGGGACCACTATTGCTCACAGGATGGGTATGGGGACCACTATTGCTCACAGGATGGGTATGGGGACCACTATTGCTCACAGGATGGGTATGGGGACCACTATTGCTCACAGGATGGGTATGGGGGACCACTAATGCTCACAGGATGGGTATGGGGACCACTATTGCTCACAGGATGGGTATGGGGGACCACTATTGCTCACAGGATGGGTATGGGGACCACTATTGCTCACAGGATGGGTATGGGGACCACTATTGCTCACAGGATGGGTATGGATCCATTGTCACAGGATGGATATGGGTCCATTGTCACAGGATGGGTATGGGGACCACTATTGCTCACAGGATGGGTATGGGGACCACTATTGCTCACAGGATGGGTATGGGAGACCACTATTGCTCACAGGATGGGTATGGGGGACCACTATTGCTCACAGGATGGGTATGGGGTGTACTACTGCTCACTGTATGGGTATGGGGGGCCCAGTACCGTTCAAACGTTGGGTATGGGGGTCCCTTACCGTGCACAGGATAGGTATGGGGACTACGTCAGCTGCTCACAGGATGGGTATGGAGTCCACGACCGCTCACAGGATGGGTATAGGGACCATTACTACTCACAGGATGGGTACGAGGTTCACTACCCGTCACGGATTATGTATAGGTGGTATAACAATAAATGAACTACACTGTGACGGGCACACATTAAGTGTTCTACAACAGCTCGGTGGTGTGTATACAAGTGTAAAATACACTACACCTATTCTGTAGAGAGAACGACTAGAAACAATCACCGCGACAATTCAAAATTATTTTCACTTTAAGTGGTGCCGGAAATCACACTAAAAAATAAAACAGAGAGTTAAGAGTTGTGTGCTTGTAATACACACATACATATACACACCTAGCTGAAAGTAACACATACACAGGCTGGCGTCAGAATTAGTGCATGATTACAGGACAAGCGGCACTCTTTTGAGTTTTGATTGACGGGTTTTTTTTTGGCGGCACTGTCAAGCGTGTGTATGTGTGTGTGTGTGTGTGATCGTCCTGTTGATATTTTGTCAATACCGGTACACTGTACTAGTGCCAGGCCCGCGTGCTGGTCTGCCCTCGTGGCTGACACCTACGCCTTATAGACTCCTCTAATGCTTGGCTAGCCAACGTGTAGTAAGAGGAAACTCGGCCAAAACACAAGGAAAATTTAATCAAATGCACACGAGTTATAGTGGGCGTGCGTGCTCTCAATGGCTGGCGACTAGTTGGCAACTGTGCGCCTGGAAAACGCCGAGAATGTTGCTTGGCGACTTTTAATACACACCTTGTGCGCCTTTTCACGGCGTTTGTCACTTGTTTGACGGAATGTGAGCGTGGCAATATGTACTCTAATTACCGTAAACTATACATGCCTAAGAATATCGTGACAATCATAGTGATAAACAGAAATACTTAGCAGGAAAACAGAAATTGGAAGCATCAAATCTGGTGAGGCGAGTTACGCCGTACCGTAGAGGCCAGTCACGGGCAGCACGGCTCACAGCGGTACAGGCGCTCCACCAGGAACCTCTCTCACCAAGGGCGTAGCTCGCTCAACACTCACTCGCATCTTACCAATTCTTACAGTGCTTGTATCGGGGTCATAAGTGTTATTCTCTGGTGATTTCTGTTAAAACAGCGATTGGAATTGGCTTGTTTGCTCTTGAAGAAGCCTAATGACTTCGTGGTGCTGATTTACAGTGTAACTAAATAGTATGCGCTTGACACAGAGGATTATTTACGTCTCGCTGTGCGCTACCAGGTGTCAGTGTTGTGTTTAGTGCGTGTTATGGATAACAAAATAAGCTACACTTCATCCTGTCAACGTTTGGTTCAGTAATGATAGACGCACAGTAAGAGGCAACGGATACTTCCTCTCGCAAAGTGGCCACTCTGCCCTGCAGCCGTCCGTAGCTCGCTCTCAACTACTGCAACAACTCCTGCTGTCAACGAAGGAAGGCGAGGCCAAGACATTCGTCAGGATCCAGGTCAGTGTTCAACAGGTAGCATGAGGTCACGGTCTTGTCCGCCCTTGACACGTTGGTGGCCGTCCGCTACACGTTGGGGCACTGCCGTGTCTTCACGTGTCACAGTATAATGTCTGGGAAGCAGATACGGGCTTATGCTAGCAAGTGTTTCTGAATACCTTTAAGGGTATACCAAAGCCAACATATCATCACACAAAACAAAGTTTCCCGTTCACAAAAAGCACAGAAAACAAATTTTACAAATCGCACTAAGCACAGAAAACGAAATTTATTATTCGCAGTAAGCAGAGAAAACAAAGTTCTCTGTTCACAGTAGAATATATATACGTTAGTCGATGCCGCTGTGTTGCAAAATATCTGTTCTAGACGACTGCATGAGGGCAACTATGCACGCACTACCGGTACCTACGTGTGTGCAACAGCTGAAGTACTGTAGGTCAGGACGCTGAAAGTGGCGAGGAAGGCGCTGCAGGGACTGTGTTGCCAGGGTTCTGGCTCCTCGTATTCGTAGCAACTGTGTGTATCGCGGTGCCTAGTACACGCGTGTACACAAAGCTCGCTGCCTTTGTGCGTTCTCACAGAGGTCCAAGGTGTTTCAGTATGGGGTCATGCGCTCCATTGTTTGAAAACACGCTTTAAAGGAGTCTGTATAGAGATATTAGCACAAAAACAATTGGTTAGTGGTAAATATGGCCCCTAGCCTATTACGTCAGTTGGTACGGTTTTGACCATAATTGTACGATAGCGGGCACGGGTAGTTTTGTCCAGATAGAGAGTGTGGGCATTTTGTTGTTTCCTTAAAGCTATATATCTGTAGTAACCTATAAATAGATGAATCTATTGTCTTAGTATTATAACCGAGATGTATTAATATCGACGCAAAAATTAGCATTCGCTTAATCAAATTTGCTGCGTAAAATCATGACGCCACATTAATATTTAAGCCTAATTTTACCCAGGTAAAGACCATTAAGGATAATGCATGTCTTTATTAGTTCAGACTGCTATGTTAGCTTTGGTTTATATTTTAAAACAATACAAATTTGTTGGAAGGTTTTACCAATCAGGAAGGTGTTATAGTTTGGTTGACGGTTGACACTGAAAGTTTTGAATTCGAATGAAAGTGGGATTGACGCTACTGGAAACGAGAATTATAACATTTAACTCCTCACATAGTCTAGAGCAGCTGCAAAAATGCGGAAGTAAAATAATACAAAATACTCAAGTGTTCCCTCAAGGCCCTGGAGAAAGAAAATGGGGATAAGTTTGAGTGGTGTACTACCAAGGAGGGAACAAGTGGTTGGTAATGTCTTGGCTGCTGGGGTTTATTACGCTCGTAAACAACCTTACTAGTAATGAATGGCACGGTACTTTACTGTCTTCCAATTACAAGCTATTAGATCTCCGATTACGGCGATTTGAGGCCATTAGTCACTGGGTTAAATACAGTTATTTGAGCATAGCAGCCAATTGGTGTCGCAAAGATCACAGAGTATCCATAGTGCAAGCCCAAGTGAACACAGACCTACACATAGAGGCATGCAGATACACATACCTACACATACTATCCATAGTGCAAGCCCAAGTGAACACAGACCTACCCATAGAGGCATACAGATACACATACCTACACATACAGACCTACACATACTATCCATAGTGCAAGCCCAAGTGAACACAGACCTACCCATAGAGGCATGCAGATACACATACCTACACATACAGACCTACACATACTATCCATAGTGCAAGCCCAAGTGAACACAGACCTACCCATAGAGGCATACAGATACACATACCTACACATACTATCCATAGTGCAAGCCCAAGTGAACACAGACCTACCCATAGAGGCATACAGATACACATACAGACCTACACATACTATCTTACCAACAGAACAATTTTGTTCACTTATTTATTATGCATCCAATACCCATCCCGTGAGCGGTGGCGGAGGCGGCTTACAGAGACGAACAGCGCCGATACTAAATGTCTGCATCATATGGGTAGCTTGGTTTTGCATTATTATTCTTACACTTTAATTATTACAGGATTTTAATTGGAGAAACTTAGGTCTAAGGTAAGAAAATTCTTTATCACTTGTGTTTACCACTTTACCACATTTGCTGTAGCATGTACTCACCTATTTGTGCTTGTGGGGGTTGAGCTCTAGCTCTTTGGTCCCCCAAACCGTCAATCAACTGGTGTACAGATTCCTGAGCCTATTAGGCACGATCATATCTACATTTAAAACTGTGTACGGAGTCAGCCTCCACAACATCACTGCCCAATGCATTCCACCTGTTAACTACTCTGACACTGAAAAAGTTCTTTTTAACTTCCCTGTGGCTCATTTATGTACTCAGTTTCCACCTGTGTCTCCTTGTTCGCGTACCACCATGTGTGGTGGAAACAGTTCAACACTTATACCATATGTAAAGGAAGAAATATATATGTTTATCACTCACAATGTTCGGTAATATGTTTACTGTTTGTGATGTGAATCTGTGTATATATATATGAACACATCGTACTGAAAGAGGCGAAAATAGCTTGAGTTACCTCATCCCTTTGTATGTATTTATACATCAATAAACTTATTTAAATTTTAATTTGTGGTGGGAAGAGTGCCAACACTGGTGGAGTATATGGTAAGAACGGTGCCCAAACTGCTGAACCACGGAGACATGGCGCTGCGTCACTGCCGATCATAAAAGCTTATGGTTGTTAGGATAGCATGATGTGCAAGTACGAGCAGTGATAACGACCACCTTCACACAGCAGTGATAACGACCACCTCTTTCTGTGAAGGTGATCGTTATCAACCTTAGCTACCACCATTACAAGCCTAACCCCGGAGTTAGGGCAGGCAGCCACCACTAGGGTAACCCCAGGGTAAGGGCAGGCAGCCACCACTAGGGTAACCCCAGGGTAAGGGCAGGCAGCCACCACTAGGGTAACCCCAGGGTAAGGGCAGGCAGCCACCACTAGGGTAACCCTGGTAAGGGCAGGCAGCCCCCACTAAGGTAACCCCAGGGTAAGGGCAGGCAGCCACCACTAGGGTAACCCCAGGGTAAGGGCAGGCAGCCACCACTAGGGTAACCCCAGAGTAAGGGCAGGCAGCCACCACTAGGGTAACCCCAGGGTAAGGGCAGGCAGCCACCACTAGGGTAACCCCAGGGTAAGGGCAGGCAGCCACCACTAGGGTAACCCCAGGGTAAGGGCAGGCAGCCACCACTAGGGTAACCCCAGAGTAAGGGCAGGCAGCCACCACTAGGGTAACCCTGGAGTAAGGGCAGGCAGCCACCACTAGGGTAACCCTGGAGTAAGGGCTGGCAGCCCCCACTAGGGTAACCCCAGGGTAAGGGCAGGCAGCGGCAGCCCCCACTAGGGTAACCCCAGAGTAAGGGCAGGCAGCGGCAGCCACCACTAGGGTAACCCCAGAGTAAGGGCAGGCAGCGGCAGCCACCACTAGGGTAACCCCAGAGTAAGGGCAGGCAGCGGCAGCCACCACTAGGGTAACCCCAGAGTAAGGGCAGGCAGCGGCAGCCACCACTAGGGTAACCCCAGAGTAAGGGCAGGCAGCCACCACTAGGGTAACCCCAGGGTAAGGGCAGGCAGCCACCACTAGGGTAACCCTGGAGTAAGGGCAGGCAGCCACCACTAGGGTAACCCCAGAGTAAGGGCAGGCAGCCACCACTAGGGTAACCCCAGGGTAAGGGCAGGCAGCCACCACTAGGGTAACCCTGGAGTAAGGGCTGGCAGCCACCACTAGGGTAACCCTGGAGTAAGGGCTTAAGGTAACCAGGGTATAATAATACTCGAGCCTTCAGCCAGGTCTCATTGTTCTCTCTTTCGTCTACTTTTTGTCCTTTCCTTGTTCGTTTATATGTTTTGTCTTCCGCAAACATTTCCTTGTGTTTTTCTTGCTTTGTTTTGTTTCTTATTTGGTGTTTTGCTCTCACTATTTTATATTTATTATAAGTTTTTTTTTTACTCATTGTTTCTGGATCCAATTTGTATTGCTCTTGTTCGTGTTGTATGTTTTTTTTATTATTATCCGTGTTATTAGTTATCCCTCGAAGCCCGTCTTGCAGTGTACGAAATGTTTTTTTTTATTAGTTAACATCGCGATGTCTAGAGAACGTCCAGGCAGAGGTCTATCGGCTTGAAACTTTGAAGACTCGTGTACGGTTGTACTAGGAAGGTTTCTATTTTTAGAAACCCCTCTGAGTATTTTTAGAAACCCTCTGAGTATTTTCAGAATGTTGCTCTTTGCGGAAGATTTTAGAATGACACCTTTGACTGGCCAAGTCACACAATCATGTTCACTGGTCACCTCTGAACCTTGCCTGAGAATACACACAATAACCTGTTGAACTTTCACCTTCTACATACAACAACTTCTACATACATTCCCTGGTGCCAGAGGATACACTTTGGTTAAAGACCAAAGGTGAAATAGAAGGCAAGAATGTTTTTCACTTGCGTTAACTTTGTGCTCTTTAACTTCAGTTTACGTTACACTTGTCCCAAGGGAAGAGTTAGTGGACAGCGTCACTTAACCTGTGAGTTGCTATCGCCATAGCAACTTGTACAACACATCCCAAGAGCAGGGAAGCCCGTTATGTTGCTGAGTGTTGATCGCGTCACTTGTGCCTAGAGGCAGCTGGGACTTGCTTAACTGTCTGAAGGAAGCAGCTTGTCAAACAAAGGGATTAATATTTGCCAACCCTCGAGCTTAGGTAATCTTGCTGGTGCAAAGTGTGGGGGAAACTTGTTAAAACTCTTAGTCTGTTTGACAGAAATGTTTTAACAAAGTTAATGTGTGTTTTATGATGCCGTTCATATTTCTTATTGTAAGTGGGCGCAGTTCCTCAAGTAAAATTCCAGGCAATGCATTTAGTTTCTACAGACAGAGAGACATCTGGAGTAAAGTTAAGGATAATTGCTTCAAACTTAGTAACCTACGCATTTTTTTTTATGAAAGTAAACTATATATATATATAATATATATATATATTTAGGACTATTACATAAAATTCACTCGGCGTAGCCTCAAGTAGGAATTTTGGCAGTTAGCCTAATTGTATTTATGCTTGTGTAGGGAGATGTGTCCATTTTAGTATCTTGGTAAATTTTTATTCAATTTATTATAATCTTCCCGCCTTGGCGCCTTCTTTTTGATTATATACTTTCATTTAATTCCTTAAAATTTGGCACAACTTGGCTAAGCCTATTTATTGAGGAAAAATTATTATAATTTTAAATCAATTGTGTCAAAATTTGCCGTTAACATTTAATTTAGGCAAATTTCTAGTTTGATGTGAATATAGAATTTACGTTACAGGCATCACGTGCTGGTTCTTGAACCAGTCCTGGCCCTCGAGGGCTGGTTCTTGCACCAGTCCTGGCCCTCGAGGGCTGGTTCTTGAACCAGTCCTGGCCCTCGAGGGCTGGTTCTTGCACCAGTCCTGGCCCTCGAGGGCTGGTTCTTGAACCAGTCCTGGCCCTCGAGGGCTGGTTCTTGAACCAGTCCTGGCCCTCGAGGGCTGGTTCTTGCACCAGTCCTGTCCTGGCCACCAGTCGAGGGCTGGTTCTTGCACCAGTCCTGGCCCTCGAGGGCTGGTTCTTGCACCAGTCCTGGCCCTCGAGGGCTGGTTCTTGCGCCAGTCCTGGCCCTCGAGGGCTGGTTCTTGCACCAGTCCTGGCCCTCGAGGGCTGGTTCTTGCACCAGTCCTGGCCCTCGAGGGCTGGTTCTTGCACCAGTCCTGGTCCTCGAGGGCTGGTTCTTGCACCAGTCCTGGCCCTCGAGGGCTGGTTCTTGAACCAGTCCTGCACCACCTCGGTTGTGGTGCAGCAGGTGTGGGGTGTCAGCAGGGCTGGAGCGCCGCCCCCCAACGGTCCCTGCTAGGCTGGTTGAGCTGTGAGGCGAAATTCACCGTTCCCCTCAGTTTAGAATTTCGCCAGGTATGGCCATCTGTTGCACTCATAGTAATTACTCTGGAGGATTGCTTCTGCAGGCTGTATCCTACCTAGCCAGTGGTTGTGATGGTGGTTAGCTTAGTGTTGTGGTAATTATTATAAGTCTATTGTAGGGATTGTGGCTCAATATTGTGGAATATATGTACTTTAATTAGACCTAATATTGCGTTTAATTCGCCTAGGATTGTTTATTCGTGTTTTTTTCTGGAGCAAGTAGGCTACAACTGTATTTTTTGTTTACATTTCAGCTAAAGTCGTTATACTGTAGGTGCTGTAGTTTTTGGAGGATGGGGCTGGTGGAAGCACAGGTGCCACAGGTCCAACGAGCTTGGAGCCAGTGTTGGTGCCACCAGCTGTGTTTACACAAGGCGGCGTGCTTGGCAGGTGACGATATCTCCAGCTAATTGTGTCATCATAACACAACTTACCTACACGACACTCATTACACTTCACCCATGAACTAATACACGCAGGTTTGGCTCTTCCTAGCGAGAGGCTGACCACCTGCAATATTCCTTTAAACATGTTTGATCTAAATAATTCTATTTGTGTCTCTTTCTGTGAGAAAATATATACATCACGCAGAGCAGCTCTTCAAAGTACACACTTATAATAATGGCCCAAGATTACAAATCTAAAATTATAGTTATTTTCCAGAATTCTTCTTGAAAGAAGAATGGCAGCAATGAGTAGCCTAGTTTTGTCGGCTTCTAAGATTTCCTGTGATGTGACCAGTGTCTGTTCTCACCCCGTGTGTGTGGGAGTAGGCTGGTAGGCTTATAGTGCCTGAGGGAGGTAGGCTGGTAGGCCTGTGGTATGTAAGAAAGGATTTGTGTGTGTGGAGGTGGGGGGGGGATGGTGTGGGAGGAAGGAACTATGTGTGGGGGTGCAGTATGGCGTGGGGGATATGACGTAGGGCAGCAGGGTGTGCCAAGAATTATTCGAGGAGTTATGTGTAGGGCGTAGCAGATTGAAGAGCAGTAACGAGAGACTATTGTTTATGACAGCTAGAGTGTAGCGTTTAGAGCTGAGAGGAGGAAGTACACACCAGCAGTGTAGCGTGTAGCGCTGAGAGGGGAAATACACACCGGCAGTGTAGCGTGTAGAGCTGAGAGGGGAAGTACACACCAGCAGTGTAGCGTGTAGCGCTGAGAGGGGAAGTACACACCGGCAGTGTAGCGTGTAGAGCTGAGAGGGGGAAGTACACACCAGCAGTGTAGAGCTGAGAGGGGAAGTACACACCAGCAGTGTAGCGTGTAGAGCTGAGAGGGGGAAGTACACACCAGCAGTGTAGCGTGTAGAGCTGAGAGGGGGGAGTACACACCAGCAGTGTAGCGTGTAGAGCTGAGAGGGGAAGTACACACCAGCAGTGTAGCGTGTAGAGCTGAGAGGGGGAGTACACACCAGCAGTGTAGCGTGTAGAGCTGAGAGGGGGGAGTACACACCAGCAGTGTAGCGTGTAGAGCTGAGAGGGGGGAGTACACACCAGCAGTGTAGCGTGTAGAGCTGAGAGGGGGGAGTACACACCAGCAGTGTAGCGTGTAGAGCTGAGAGGGGGGAGTACACACCAGCAGTGTAGCGTGTAGAGCTGAGAGGGGGGAGTACACACCAGCAGTGTAGCGTGTAGAGCTGAGAGGGGGAAGTACACACCAGCAGTGTAGAGCTGAGAGGGGAAGTACACACCAGCAGTGTAGCGTGTAGAGCTGAGAGGGGGGAGTACACATCAACAGTGTAGAGCTGAGAGGGGGGAGTACACACCAACAGTGTAGCGTGTAGAGCTGAGAGGGGGGAGTACACACCAGCAGTGTAGAGCTGAGAGGGGGGAGTACACACCAGCAGTGTAGCGTGTAGAGCTGAGAGGGGAAGTACACACCAGCAGTGTAGCGTGTAGAGCTGAGAGGGGGGAGTACACACCAGCAGTGTAGCGTGTAGAGCTGAGAGGGGGGAGTACACACCAGCAGTGTAGCGTGTAGAGCTGAGAGGGGGGAGTACACACCAGCAGTGTAGCGTGTAGAGCTGAGAGGGGGGAGTACACACCAGCAGTGTAGAGCTGAGAGGGGGGAGTACACACCAGCAGTGTAGCGTGTCGGGTGTCAACAGGTTCAGCTGCTATTGTTCCTCACCCTCTTGCCCTCTTCTCCTTTGTATATACATTGACTCATCGCCTCGAACGTCATTATTTACACTTATCTCTCCTGAATAGAGTGCCAATGGCGCCGGCAATCCTAGGCAGGAGTCGCATGAGGCACCATGGCCGCCCCCCTCAAAGTCCAGCCTATCGTCAAGAGATGGGAGAGACGGTGCTGGAGGGAAGGAAAGGGGGAGAATGATGGAGGGGGGAGTATGGGAGAGAGGGGGAGGAGGGGGACAGAGACCCGAGCACAACCGGGTAATACATCTAGTTGTATTTTGCATCAGAATTTCACGTCTGTTTTGGCCTAGATTAAGTTAGGTAAGGTGTTCAGCTTCTTTTAGCCCACACCCTCCAACACAACACACCCTCCAACACAACACACCCTCCAACACAACACACCCTCCAACACAACACACCCTCCAACACAACACACCCTCCAACACAACGCCCTCCAACACAACACTCCCTCCAACACAACACTCCCTCCAACACAACACTCCCTCCAACACAACACTCCCTCCAACACAACACGCCCTCCAACACAACACGCCCTCCAACACAACACGCCCTCCAACACAACACACCCTCCAACACAACACACCCTCCAACACAACACACCCTCCAACACAACACACCCTCCAACACAACACACCCTCCAACACAACACACCCTCCAACACAACACACCCTCCAACACAACACACCCTCCAACACAACACACCCTCCAACACAACACACCCTCCAACACAACACACCCTCCAACACAACACACCCTCCAACACAACACACCCTCCAACACAACACACCCTCCAACACAACACCCTCCAACACAACACACCCTCCAACACAACACACCCTCCAACACAATTATCCTACCAGACAAGTCGCGTAATTCCCTGTTGGTCTCCATCTGGTAATTTGACGCTCCCTTTCATAATCTGCCTCTCTCCGTATGCATCTTTTATCACCCTTGCTCTACTCCGACCCTTCCTCCACTCCCTCTCCTCTCTCCCTTCATCCTCTTTCATAACGCATGCACTCTCGCACATGCAAGCACGCACACACGAGCACGTACGCACATGCAAGCACTCGCACATGCAAGCACTCGCGCACATGCAAGCACTTACACACGAAATGTAAGGAATCGTCCAGGACCTTGTATAACACTTATGTAAGACCAATCCTGGAGTATGCAGCTCCAGCCTGGAGACCATACTTGGTTAAATACAAGACAATGTTAGAGAAGATTCAGAGGTATGCCACCAGACTAGTCCTGGAACTGAGAGGTATGAGCTACGAGGAAAGGCTAAGGGAGCTGAACCTCACATCCCTGGAAAACAGAAGAGTAAGGGGAGACATGATAACCACCTACAAAATTCTCAGGGGAATTGATAGGGTGGACAAAGACAAACTCTTTAGCACGGGTGGAACACGAACACAGGGGGGATTTCAAAGCGTTATATGACAAAGAGTGCTGGGGAGAGGGACACAAAGAGCGTAGCTCTCATCCTGTAACTACACTTAGGTAATTACAGGTGGAAACTGAGTGCCCAGATGAGCCACAGAGACATTAGAAAGAACTTTTTCAGTATCAGAGTAGTTAACAAATGGAATGCATTAAGCAGTGATGTGGTGGAGGCTGACTCCATACAGTTTCAAATGTAGATTTGATAGACCCCAGTAGGCTCAGGAATCTTTACACCAGTTAAGAGGCGGGACCAAAGAGCCAGAGCTCAACTAGGTGCGTACACGAGCACGCAAAGGAACTCACAGGTGTTACTCCTCTCAGTGAGTTCCCTCAGCCATTTCTGTGTGAGTGGTGCCAGCATGGTGCGGCTTGGAGTGGTGTGCCTGGTACTTCCGACACCCCCTGGCTCCCTGACAGGCAGGCCACGGGTACACACAGGAACACACACAGGTGGAATCAAGGCGACCCAAAAAACTCCTCTTCCTTCCCTCCTCCCCCCTCCCACGCCCCCCTCCATACAGTTTCAAATGTAGATTTGATAGACCCCAGTAGGCTCAGGAATCTTTACACCAGTTAAGAGGCGGGACCAAAGAGCCAGAGCTCAACTAGGTGCGTACACGAGCACGCAAAGGAACTCACAGGTGTTACTCCTCTCAGTGAGTTCCCTCAGCCATTTCTGTGTGAGTGGTGCCAGCATGGTGCGGCTTGGAGTGGTGTGCCTGGTACTTCCGACACCCCCTGGCTCCCTGACAGGCAGGCCACGGGTACACACAGGAACACACACAGGTGGAATCAAGGCGACCCAAAAAACTCCTCTTCCTTCCCTCCTCCCCCCTCCCACGCCCCCCTCCCACGCCCCCCTCCCACGCCCTCCTCCCACACCCACCTCCCACGCCCACCTCCCACGCCTCCTCCCTCGTCCCACGCCCTCCTCCCACACCCACCTCCCACGCCCCCTCGTCCCACGCCCCCCTCGTCCCACGCCCCCCTCGTCCCACGCCCATCTCCCACGCCCACCTCCCACGCCCACTTCCCACGCCCCCCTCGTCCCACGCCCACCTCCCACGCCCACCTCCCACGCCCACCTCCCACGCCCACCTCCCACATAAAGACAATTACGCTAACTTAACCACCTCCGAGTAACTGCCAAAGAGAGTAATATTTTCAATGAGAAAATATGAGAATACGTAAAGAGTGAAGATGAGGTACTGGAGGTCCCCGGGACGCATCCAATCACCATCCACACATTCTCTAGACAACACAACACACTTTAAACCATCAAATATACTCAAAACAATCAAATTTATCTTAAGACTGTCGGGACTGACTTGATGGTGTTGAGTATTGTTGATAGTGAGAGCCTCGGTGAGGTCAGCAATGTCTAACATGTATTATATTCTTACGAAGTGGTGATTGTGACGGCGGTTAGGGGTTAGGGGGGGGGGGGGAGGGGGGGTTATTGATTTTAGGTTGATGATGAAAGGTAATTTTGCTTTCACGTGCAATTTGCGCAATGCAGGTCTGGCGTGGAGCCTCTGGTGGCCGGGCCGAGGAGTGGCGAAGGGAAGCTGGAGCGCCGGAATGGCTTTTGTAGTTCCTGGTGTCGCGGATCGAAGGTTGGAGAGCAGGGCGAGTTTGGTGTGGCGTCAGCGATATGTGAGGGGGAGGCTGTAGTGATGGGTGGGTGAGGGGTGTGGGGTGGGTGACGGGTGTGTGGGGTGGGTGAGGGGTGTGTGGGGTGGGTGAGAGGTGTGGGGTGGGTGAGGGGTGTGGGGGGTGGGTGAGGGGTGTGTGGGGTGGGTGAGAGGTGTGGGGTGAGGGGTGTGGGGTGGGTGAGTGTGCTTACCTATCAGTGTCTACTGAGGCGTGAGCTCCAGCTCCTCAGATCCAGCCTACTAGTCTTGTTGTACCTGTTGCGTTATAATTTAAGTTTTCTGATGTTCGAATTTTTTGATGACTCTGGTTGTGGATGAAGCTTAGGTTCGTACGCATCTGGTGAGGTTAAACCGTTGCATTTTATACGGAGTGGCAAATCTGTCTGTGAAAGCCGCCCGAGAGCCCGTCACCGAGCCCGGTACACGAGGCAGGGACGAACATTTAAGGCCACAATCATAATCTAACTTGTGAAGGATATTAGATAGACTAAGAGCTGGGACATGAGGGTGAATAGGAGTTTGGATACGAGGACGGAGGGAAGGAACGGTGCCCTAACACTAAAACTGGCGATGATGGAACGCCGACCTTGCGAGAAGCAAAGCCGTCACATTTCCGACCAGGGGATATGGCTGAGTTAATGCAGAAAGAAACTCTACAGAGGCTGGTCAAGAACCAATGTAAGAATAATTAGTCTTAAAATATATGCACTGTACATATACACTGAAGTTACATACTCATGCCTGAACATGCATTATACACACACACATGTGTAAACATGTATTATACTCATGCTTATACCAAACAAGGACGTAAACGTGTTTACCAATACACACTTCAAAAGCAAAACAGAGGACCGTACACAATAGTTTTTTGTTTTTTTTCAGGGATATTCCTGCGCGGGCCCTAAGCCTCTGGTTGGCCCACTAAGTGTTGCTTGTTTCTGTTTTACTTGGGCGGAGTGTGAGTATTTATGACTCGTATGGTACACAATAGTAATGCTACAGGTCCGTAACAATTACCAAAACAATATGAAAAGTCTCAAAATTTCTCACATATATCCCTCTGGGGAAGGAGACCTTCGTATAGCTGGGTGAAATCTCACTTGCGAAGCTGGTTATCTTGAGATGATTTCGGGGCTTTTAGTGTCCCCGCGGCCCAGTCCTCGACCAGGCCTCCACCCCCAGGAAGCAGCCCGTAACAGCTGACTGACACCCAGGTACCTATTTTACTGCTAGGTAACAGGGGCATAGGGTGAAAGAAACTCTGCCCATTGTTTCTCGCCGGCGCCTGGGATCGAACCCAGGACCACAGGATCACAAGTCCCGCGTGCTGTCCGCTCGGCCGACCGGCTCCCTCTGCCTCCAAGTGGTCAGACACGCACCAGGGAAGGCTGGACACAGGCCAGGCTGTAGGACTAATAGCACTCTCGAAATCAGCAACAGGTAATGCGGAACATGTATTTAGGAAGCACAGTAGCCACACGATCTCAAAGTCTGGGGTTCGAGCCCCATTTGTTTAGTCGGTTTAGAGCGTTTAAGCCCCTGCCAGGTTTATCCGGTGATAGCTTAACCGCTGTGTATAGTATAGATTTGTAGTTGACAGTAGAGTGTACTCACCTAATTGCGCTTGCGGGGGTTGAGCTTTGGCTCTTTGGTCCCGCCTCTCAACTGTCAATCAACTCGTGTACAGGTTCCTGAGCCTACTGGGCTCTATCATATCTACTCTTGAAACTGTGTATGGAGTCAGCCTCCACCACATCACTTCCTAATGCATTCCATTTATTAACTACTCTGACACTGAAAAAATTCTTTCTAACGTCTCTGTGGCTCATCTGGGTACTAAGTTTCCACCTGTGTCCCCTTGTTCGTGTTCCACCCGTGCTGAAGAGTTTGTCTTTGTCCACCCTGTCAATTCCCCTGAGAATTTTGTAGGTGGTTATCATGTCTCCCCTTACTCTTCTGTTTTCCAGGGATGTGAGGTTCAGCTCCTTTAGCCTTTCCTCGTAGCTCAGTGTGTCTATACAGTGTGTCTGTACAGTGTGTCTGCTGTATATTGTGGGTTAATACTTGGTTACAGGTAGGATTGAAAAGTTACGTAGATAGTAAGTAGCTGTAGCCAGTAACGTGGTGGAAGGCACAGAGGGAGCAGACTGCGTGCCGGCCACAGACATTCACGCTCACCTCTGTACAAGGTCACGCCACACAGGTTGTTTGTACAGCGCCGCACCTCAGTGTTACAGCAGCGAGAGCTCCACACCCACTTGGGAGTGGAGCTCTACCACACTCCACCCTCTCACACCTCTCACTACTACACTCTACACCCTCACACTCCACTACTCCACCCCCCTCTCACCTCACCACTACACTCTACACCCTCACACTCCACTACTCCACCTCCCTCTCACCTCACCACTACACTCTACACCCTCACACCTCACCACTACACTCTACACCCTCACACTGCACTACTCCACCCTCCTCACACCTCACCACTACACTCACTCTCTCCTCTTGTGTCCCATCCCGTTGGGAGGACAAAATGAAGGTCTCCGAACACAAAATGAAAACGTTGGACAACGGCATCGACTTTTGGAAGAGCCATCGCCCAGGTGAGATTGGTTGACGGGGCTCACCCGCCGCTCTCTTGTTGACGGGGCTCACCCGCCGCTCTCTTGTTGACGGGGCTCACCCGCCGCTCTCTTGTTGACGGGGCTCACCCGCCGCTTGTTGACGGGGCTCACCCGCCGCTTGTTGACGGGGCTCACCCGCCGCTTGTTGAAGGGGCTCACCCGCCGCTCTCTTGTTGACGGGGCTCACCCGCCGCTCTCTTGTTGACGGGGCTCACCCGCCGCTCTCTTGTTAAGCTTACTGATGTTCCATTAGGGCCCAGACCAAGGCCTGGCCTCCCCTGCAGGATGTGACCCACAACAGTCTACTAACTCCACGGTACCGTTCTCCTGCAAGGTGGCCTTATCACTGGAAAATGATAATAATTGACCACTTGGAGAGAATAAACTTTGAAACAAATGGATAGTATGGATAGGGAAGGTAGAGAGTGGTGCCTGACAAACTCGATAACGTTCTATGATAAAGTTACTCAAATAAGCCAGGGGAAAAAGATTGGTTTGACTGTCAAATAGGACTTGATGCTGTACCTTATGAAAGACTGGTGTTCAAAATGGAGAAGCAAGTATGGATAATTAAGAAGACACTGAACTGCGTAAGGGAGTACTTGAAATACAGAAAACAAGTTCACAATCTTGAGTTATCTTGAAGTTATCTTGAAGTGTTTCCGGGGTTTAGCGTCCCCGCAGCCCGGTCGTCGACCAGGCTTCCTCGTTGCTGGACTGGTCAACCAGGCTGTTTGACGCGGCTGCTCGCAGCCTGACGTATGAATCACAGCCTGGTTGATCAGGTATCCTTTGGAGATGCTTATCCAGTTCTCTTGAACACTGAGGGGTCGGCCAGGTATGCCCCTTATGTGTAGTCAGAGATAAAGATCAATCAGAGATAAAGATCAATCAGAGATAAAGATCAATCAGAGATAAAGGTTGTGAAGAATAAAACATTTACAAGTACAAAAGTCTGCAAGAAGATTAGTGCTAGAGCTAAGAGGGTTGAGCAGTGAGGATTGGTTAAGGGCACTAGCCTTCCCAATCCTGAAGAAGAGAACAAACAGAAGGGCCATGATCGTAACATACAAGATACTTATGAGAATTGACAAGGTGGACAAGGACAGCCTCATTAAAGTGAGAGAAAGTAGGACGAGAGGACATAACTGGAAGTTGGAAATGGAAACGATTCAAAGAAATGAAAGAAAAGTACCCGTACCACATACTGGTGGTCAACAAGTGGAATGCACTGCAAGTTGTGGAAGCCACCTCCACGCACAACTTTAAGGCCAGATTCTACAAAGAATTCAAACGTCAGAAAAGTTAAATTATAACGCAACAGCTACAACAAAACTAGTAAGCGGAGGCATAGAGCTAGACCTCAATCCTTCGTAGTCACGGATAGGTAAGTGCTACCACCTCTCTCACACCTCCCCTCGCCCCCCCTCCTGTCTCCCAGCAGGGTGTTGTCGGGACAGATTCATTGCTCGCAAAGTATTGATTCAGTGAGAGAAAACAACTAAGGCAAACATATTGGCCATCATCTGAGCACGGTGGAACAGTGAGGCGATATATGTTAGGTCATCGGCAGAGTGCTGGGAGAGGGGGAGCGTGGGACGGATGACGAGGGAGAGGGGCAGGTAATGGAATAGGTTGTAGAGTCGAGGAAGGTGAAGGGGGGGGGGGGGTGATGAACATGACAGGGGTTGAAGAATATGATGGGGAATGGGTGCAACTCTGCTGAATGTGTAGGTATAGGGGAGGAAACTGAGAGAGAGAGAGAGAGAGAGAGAGAGAGAGAGAGAGAGAGAGAGAGAGAGAGAGAGAGAGA